CAAGGGCTCTCCTCTAAGAATTTCATTGGGAAACTGTACTATATACCCCAGAGCTCTGAACTTGCCCCTTCAGATGTTTGCTTGTTCCCCCCAAATCAAAGAACATTTCCAAGGAACATGATTTGAGTCCATTAAGGGTACCGAAACTGATGAAGCATAAGTAAAAGGACATGTAGGTCAACTGGCAAAACACAGTTGAGTTCATAGATGGTGAAAACCCAGTTCTGCATCTTAGTCTGGTGAGTAGCATTGGGGTCTCGAAATATTACAGGCAGCCATCTGAGAAGCAACTATTGGTCTCTTCTCATAGGGAGCAAAGTAGAATGAAGGAAACTGAAGACTCCAGGAAGCAATTACTCCAGAGGACCAATAGTCCCCGTGAACCATGGTGGCCCCTAATCTGAGACCAAAGAGTTAGGTGGTGTCCAGCTGCCACGATGGGCAAATTAGAAAGGATAAAGAACATGAGGCAAAATTATAACTTAAAAGGATAGAAAAGAAGGTCAGAATTATTGGTCTGAAAGGGACTGGAGGAAGCCCCCAGACGATTGTCTATGATAACATGTTGCTTGAAACTAGAAGTCACCTTTCAGCCAAATAACAGACAAGCATACGAAAGAATAGCACCTGGCAAGAGGAGGGTGCACCTTACAACAATCCGTTATTTGAGACCAAAAGGGTAACATGTGGCCAAATTCAAACATGCAAAAGGTGGAGGGAGGGCGAGGGGAGGACACAGAGAAGGAAAAGGGGAAACCAAGGGAGGGCATGAGGAGAGCCCTGACACATTGTGGGGACCGTAACTAGGATCACAGAACAATGTGGGCATGACCTTGTGATTGAAAGGCTAATTTGCAATATAAACTTTCCCCTAAAAGAGAATAAAATGCCCCTCCAGAAGAAGAATCACTAATTTATGTAAGAACATGGCAGAGACATGGTGAATTTTGACACATGCCTCTCTCCCATCATTATTTACATGGTCCGCACCGATCCTAGTGTTCAACACTGACTTTTTCCCTAAGTGATGTGCTCCGGAATAAGCTATCACTTGGTTAGGAACCAAGAAGGAAAAGCCCCAGGGAGAGCTATATGGAAATTATACTCAGCTGACTAGTCACCATCAGAGGGGAAAAATGTTAAGGCTTGAGGTGACTGGTTGATAAAGAGGTAAACCACTGCGGTTATAAAACCAGAGATGCTTCAGCTGAGTGAAAATGAAGGTCACCATTGCAAGTTAACCATAGACTGCTGCTGCAATAGGTGGATAGTGTAGTGGGTGCGTGCGCGCGCGCGCGCACACACACACACACACACACAATTCGTTTGTTTTTCTTTCATTAGCCAAGTGGGATTTGCTCATGGTTATTACTTCTGGTGCTTCTCATAACCTCCGACCTCCTTTCTTTGGCCAGGTGTGGTGTTCCCTTACTTTCCTCGGTTGGGGCGCTATAATCTCAATTTCCACGAGGCACAGCAAGCTTGTCTGGACCAGGATGCTGTGATTGCTTCCTTCGATCAGCTGTACAGCGCCTGGAGGGGCGGCCTGGACTGGTGCAATGCCGGCTGGCTCAGCGACGGGTCTGTGCAGTACCCCATCACCAAGCCCAGAGAGCCCTGCGGAGGCCAGAACACGGTGCCTGGCGTCCGGAACTACGGGTTCTGGGATAAGGATAAAAGCAGATACGATGTCTTCTGTTTTACATCCAACTTCTATGGTAAGGACCTCGTTGCCTTCTTTCCTATCTCAGTGAAGACCATGTACTGGGGTCTTACAGTTAGTTGGCTTTTACCTTACTTGCTTAAAAGAACTTTACAGCTTTGATGTATTCTTCCAGATTGATGAAAACTGAAATGTGCTTTGACCTCATAATGATATCACAGAACCATATAATTCAAGCATAAAATGTATCATTTTACCATCTGCCACTGTTTTACTGCATACCCCCTCACTTTTTTTTTCATTGAAATAGCTTAAGTTATCACTTTGGTTGGCTGGTTTGTTGTTTGCCAAACTCATTGAGTTCTGTGGGCCCTTCATCGGGACTATGGATTTCTCGTTCGAAGTGTGAGCAGTCTCCAGACCACCCACGTTCTCCTCTTCTGAATGACAGTGTCAAAATGATTCACTGACCATCGGGAAAGCTCGTGATGAGAAAGGAAGCTAGCAATAAAACTTACATCGAAATAGCACTGAGGGGATAGGGCTTAAGAAAAAAGGACGGTCTGTAATTTACTGAGAAGAGAAACCCGAAGTCAAAAGATACAGGTGGGATCGGTGTTAACAACGGATTCATCGTAGTCCACACAGCTCCCAAATCTTATCTTTCCTCATGCAAAACCAGCTGCCTGACTTGTGGGTTTCAGAACAAAAGGAAAAAGTGGATCCTTTGTTTAAAAAGTATTTTAAAATTCTAAAGTGGCAACAGCAGAACCAAGAACCCAAACCAAGCCACGCCCACCCCTATCCGAACGATCCCAACACCAACAGAGTGGAATTGTTCCTCAGGTTTCTGATGCTGTCAGTATTGGGGATCTCGGGGGTGGGGGTGGGGGGGAGCTTATCTTTCTCCTGCAGAGGAGCTGGTTAATTTGGTCTTTCGATCTTGTGGGAATAACCTTCTGTCCCCCAGGACTCTTTAAACCAAGCCCAGCAGCCTTTTAAACACACAACCCTGTACGATTGTGCAGGCCGTTTGTCCATGTGGCCAGCAATTTTTATTTCTGAGATGGGGACATTGTTGGGGATAAATCAATGCTGCTGCCACTTAGTTGATCCCAGCTCGTAGCCACCCTGTAGGACAGGGTAGAGCTGCCTCGGGGGCTTTCCAAGGCAGCCCTCTTGACAGACCATGCTGCCTGCCACATCTTTCTCCCGATGAGTGGCCAATGGATTTGAATCCTTATCCCTTTGGTAATGGAGCCTCCACTTCTCTTTTTGGGAAAAGTGACATAATTGAAAAACATTCTCTGTAAATGGCCAGATAGTAGTAAATGTGTTGGACAATGCATACCATATGGTCTCTGTCCAAGCTCGTCATGTCTGCTGTTATAGGATAAACAATGCCCTTAAACAATAGGAAAAGGAATGAACGTGAATGTGCTTCAATACATTTGTGTTTATGAAAGCAAGTAGTAGACGGGGTTGGACTTGTGTGGCACGGTTTGCTGATCTCTGATATGAATGACCGAACCAAGCTTTGAGTTACTTTTCCAGTGGTCTCCACCCTTCCTTCCAATCTTGTGGTCTCAATCTCAATAGAGCTGGCAAGTGTTAATTGACCCAGCAATCCTCAATATTTAATCTGAGGCCTGATGAGATCATACCACAATATGGGGTCAGATATAATCTACCTGAAACTACAATGCTGGAGAAAAATCTTCATTCTGTGACCTTTCCCTTCACTGACGTCATCATATTTTATACTCGTTAAGTCCCTCAGTCATTAACACTATTCTATATGGGATTAAAATGAACTCGCTCGCTCTTTCTTTGAAAGTCAAGAAATGGCTAGGTTTCCAGGACTCAAAAGAGATGGAAATTGAGAATAATAAATCATCCTCCTTGTTAGGGAGTGATCAGAGACCGAGATCATTTTCATATTCTGAGGGTGTTTTATTTATGGCAAGTGACTTCCTGTGCTTTTGCATTTGGCGTCTTTTTTTTTTGCATTTTCGTACAGACTGTAGGGAAAATAATGTCTTATTGATACCTGTAATGAAAAGGGCATTTGATCTTTTTTTTTGGACTTTCATGTCAGGAATGTTTTTTGATCCTTTCACATTCAAATTTAGCCTCTCCACAAACTTGCGCCAGGGTTCAGTTTTGCTACAGCTAGAATTTAAATAGCCCTTGCTTTTTACATGGTCTTCCGTCTTCTCTAGTGCCACAGAATGGTCTTTAGTCACTAATTAGCTAACAGAAACGGCATCTGCCATTTCCCTTTTCTCTTTAAAGCTATGAAAGGGCACGTCTGAACACATATTAAGGGGCAAGAGAGGAGGGCAGCAACTAATTTAATGTCGAGCAACCTAGGGGTTCTACGTTTAATTGACAACAGCATGTTCCCCAAACTTCACAGACATGTTTGTCCCTGGCCCCTTCCAGGGAGAACCACTTCGGTGGGGGGCTTGCTTCAGCCCATCCAGAGCAGCACGCTGATTCTCTCTCCCTGCTTCTCACCACAGGCCGTTTTTACTACCTGATCCACCCCACCAAGCTGACCTACGATGAAGCGGTGCAAGCTTGTCTCAACGACGGTGCTCAGATTGCGAAAGTGGGCCAGATCTTTGCCGCCTGGAAACTCCTTGGCTTTGACCGCTGCGACGCCGGCTGGCTGGCGGACGGCAGCGTCCGCTACCCCATCTCCAGGCCCAGAAGGCGCTGCAGTCCCAGCGAGGCCGCGGTGCGCTTCGTGGGCTTCCCAGATAAAAAGCATAAGTTGTATGGTGTTTACTGCTTTAGAGCATACAACTGAGTGTGCTTCTAGAAGCAAGTCCATTTTGAAGTCAGATACACATGTGAAAGATGTTGTTTTCTGTGTGTTCTTGGTGTTTTTTTTCTGGGGGTGGGGGGTGGGGCCGTGTTTTGTTTTGTTTTTCAATATGAACTCATGCAAGTTACCAAAACTGTGATAACCCGTTTTTTTCTTACTGTAAAGAGTCCTTTTCATAAAGACCAATTCATTGATTTGTTTTTGTAAAGCTATCATTCAATATATATTATATATTAATATAATTGTAAGGGAAGCCTGACCTAGGAGGCTTAGAGGCAAAAGGTTTAAACTACATCATCCCACCGCAGTATTCCTTTGTGATGGGGGCACGCAATCGAGAGCTTGTGGGATTGCTAGAGTTATAAAGACGGAAAGAAAAGCCAGTCAGAGCAGCAGCTTCCACAAGCACAAATATTCCACATTTGTACAATTTTGAAATGCACACAAATTATGAAAACCGATTTGAAGTTCAGGCTTCTTACATCAACTGAGATTCAGAAACGCTGCACAAAGCAAGCTCAGTTTCAAAGGGAGCAGTCTACACTTTTCTAAAAGTTCACCTTTCGAGTCTCTGATTGATAGAATGTCTTACTCTTTAAAACTCTGCCTTGTGGCCAAAACCATAAAACAAACTTTCATATGGATGCTGTTGTGTTGTAATAAGCACGGTTAAAACTCCTTAACAATCCCATTTATATGAAGCTCTGAACCAAGTAAGCAGATAATATTTAACCAATGCGAGACTCCTACTTTTCTTCTAATTAAAATGACACCTGTCTGGGGAAGACTTGTTTTATCTTTTTGAGTAGCTTTTCTGCATTATAATAATCCTTAGGACCGTTTGCTAAGCAACATGGAGCATCTACTCAGGGCAGTTCTATAGATAAACTGCTGGACAGAAATGGTAGCAGCTTGATCTTACGTTAGCTTATTGAAATGTTATTGTCCTATAAAAATAACTTTAAACTATTTAATATTTGTTATTTACATTACATTTAAAAATCATCAAAGGGATGGATAATTATATAGCTATCTATATACATGCATAACCAAGAAATAAAGACCCATGGTGGAAATTCTTTTTTTTTTTATTGTTTTATTAGGGGCTCATACAACTCTTATCACTATCCATACATACATCAATTGTGTAAAGCACATTTGTACATTCATTGCCCTCATCATTCTCAAAACATTTCCTCTCCACTTTATCTCTATTTGTCTACACCCTCAAAAACCCAGCTGGGGCCTGGGAGGAGAGAAAAGAAAAGTTGGCCGTGTACTTCTAAACCTTGGCCGGGTTAGGAAATATGCTCTGTGCTGACACGTTCTTTATAGGTCACCATCCGCTTCGGTGAAATGCTGAGGCTGCCATCATGGAGTTGATGCTAAAAACATCAGGGCTTTCAATGAAAGGTTACGTCCATCTTCAGAGAAATAAAGTTCTACGCTGGCAGCTCCGATCTTAAACAAAGCTCTCATTTCTTTTATTTTTGTTTTTATTTTTGCTTTTTGACTGCTGAGACCCCACAGGGACCAATCTTTGCTTTCAAATTACATTTCATGGTTTCCAAATGAGTTCAAATCAATGAGATTTAGCATAACATAGCCAGTATGATTTCATGAATGTTTTTATGTAGATTCCCTCCCATGAACATGAGTAAATAAATATTTTTCCTGAATCTATTGTGATTGCATTTAAAGCTCTGTAATAATTCTAATAAATTCACTCTGTAAATGTAGAGATATGTATGTGAAAGGTATAGAACAATTGGAAGTCCCTGAAACCATAGTTATTATGTTCATATGTAATCTAGACAAAACATTATAAATATAAGTAGATCATTTCCTCCATCAAAAGGATATATGGAAATTTTCAGATGTTTCACTATAAAAATATGACAATGTATGCATGCATTTTTAAAAATTAGGATGTATATGCAAACTGTACAAAAGTATAAATCCAAAGAGATTGTGAGGTTTAACTCAAACACTGCTGGTATAAATAGAATTCTCACTGGTAAGGTTAAGAGCCCTAAATGGGCCAGACTTAAACGTTTTGTTTAAAGAGAAGATCATCTCTAACTTAGTGAGTCTGCCACCTCAAACACAGGGGTGAGCTTCTTGAAGGAAGCCTATATTTGAAGAATGATTACATATGTTACAAAAAATTTTATTGGAAATGCTAGTGGTAATAAATTTCTAATGAGGCAGATGTATAAATTTTAGGTATTGCTTCAAAACTCTACCTTTATAATATTAAGGATAGTCATATTTCTTAACTTTTGAATACTTACTAGTATGGCATTTGGTGCTGATAAAAATTTCTGCAATGACTGTTAGCTGATTCAAATCTATACCAATTGCACACCATTATTTTCATTCTTGTAAAAATAAAATCTTACCAGAATGACTACTGCTGGGCAGAATTTTAACCTCTTGTTTCTCCTAAGGGATCAGGATCTCCATATCTTCTGGACTCAATTGAATAAGGGGCCTTTTTAATGCTCTCATTTTACTGTTTCCTCCAGATTTCTGTTTCATGTTTCATTCTGCAAGGTATCTTCCTGAGAATATCTAAAAGCAAAATGTTACCCTAGTATAAAGCTTCATAGACAGTCAGGACAGCACTGACTGATTCAGAAATACTCCTCAGACTTGGTTCCAAGACTACCAGAATGATGGATGGGAGGCTATGTTGGGAAATTTTGTTCTGATCCTTTTTTCCCCCATAATGAACACTTGTGGTCCACATAAGGCACAAAATATATTTGTAAATCTTACTGAGATGCCTACATTTGAAAAGCCAGACAAAAAGAAACAATCCACATAAAAAGACACTATAAAATGAAACCAATTAACACTGGAAGACATAGCTAATGACTCCTGCCATATTTGTCACAGTAAATTTTAGTCATCTATGGTATTTGTAAATTCAAACTTTCACTCATAGAAAAGGGGCCGGTACCTGTTACAAGTTTTAGTTTCTACAATTATATAGTCACTTATTACTTTGGCAATTAGGAGGAGACTCCATGGAGATTCCAGTTTGGTTGCTGGCAACCATACTGGATTTCTTGACTGCAGTGCTCCATAGACATGGTGGTCTCTTGGAGTAGCTGACCCCTAAGGAAGGGAGGGTGACAAAGGAATTATTTATGGCTTTCCAGGGCAGAATGCATGAAGAAAGACCAGTGAGTAGCTGCCATTTGTGTTGAGAAGCCAACTGTGTGATAGCTCACTGCTGCCAGAGAAGCAATAGTGTACAACAAAAGAAATTAAAAAGTACAACAGTCATGAAGCCACCTGATGAGTCTTTGATCAGTATTTAAAGACCTTAAATACATATTTCGTACAACTATGAGAAGAACCGATCTGTATTTGAAAAATTACCAATGTTTTCATTTTTCTGTAAGATACAACTGACTGGGAAATATTAAACATCAATTTTATGTTACTGCAGTTATCTTTTGATTCTTCTTAGTTGTTGATTATTAACTCACTCTGTGCTAATATCTGTAAATATATTATCTAGAGACAGGATATTTAACCCATCTTTGTTCTGCTACATCTGAATTCAAGTTGAAAACACAATTTTAACTCCCTATTATGTCTGCTAAGGTTTGTTAGGGTTTTTTCCCTTAAAGTATCTCCGTGGTGTTGCAAAATCAGCATGCATAACAGCACTATCCAGAATAGGACTGGCTATCCCCCAAACTATTGACAGTATTCTTTTTTTTTAAATGAGCCAAATCATCATTGTTTTTTTTCACCCAGTTAGCAATCCCCCAAATCTTTACTGTCCTTGGTAAGACTAGTGAGACTGAGATGTGTTATGATCTCCATTATGAGTACTGAATTAAATCTTTACTGTCCTTGGTAAGACTAGTAAGACTGAGATGTGTTATGACCTCAATTATGAGTACTGAATTTAAAATCTTTACTGTCCTTGGTTAGACTAGTGAGCCTGAGATGTGTTATGATCTCCATTATGAGTACTGAATTTAAAAGGAAGACATTTCTGTTCATCGTTAAGTCCTCCACACTAGAACTTTATGCCCTACATGGCAAGAAATATCTTTTAATATTTAATATTTTAATATTTCCATCACTGCACTGAAATGTTAACCTGGAAAATGATTTCTGTAGTTGTCTGGCAGATGGAAATGGATTCTTAGGTGCAGGAGTCTGTTTATGGTGCAATGACTTGGATGGAGACACGCTTACATTAGTTTAAATCATTGACATTCAAAATAGAAAGTATGTTTGTAAGTTCTCTCCATACATATTGAGAGCATATTAAGCAGCCTTGCATAATACAAAAGTCCAAATGTGAAACAAAACCATGCTTTAGTGCTAAAGTTCTCACACAGATGAAGAACATTATCTTCACGTTGCCTGCAACTTTCGTGAATTAATACAACCTGGTCACACATAAACTCACCATGGTAACAATATCAAAATGACTTGTGGAAGTTTATACTAAACAACTTAAACTGTTCAGATATAATGCCCGTAGTTCACTACCAAAAGACAAAGTTGAATGCTGACTGTTCTTCAGAACAGGGTTACATACATAGGGAGAGAGTATTGTATTTTTGCACAAATAACTTGTACCTTGTGTTTTTATTTGCCAACTGTTCCTTTGATGTTGTCCCTCAAGAGTTATTTTATTAATTCACTATGTTAATTTTTATAGGAACATGTAAAAAAAATTGCCTTTGCATTCCTTATGCAACTCTCTCAGGTGAGAGCAGTTGACAAACAAATTTAGAAGGCACATGCTATTTTTAATATATATATATATACAAGTCAGTGTAAAAATAGAAGAATCATTGGGGAGAACTAAATAAACATGGATGAATTAATAAGAAACTGACACCGAAAGTAAGAAAAATGTGGGTTTTTAAAAAAAATAAATTTCCTTCCTTGATCACTGCCAACAAGTTGATTCCAACTCAGGCCTATACGACAGACCTGAACAACTCTGTGGGTTTCTGACAGTAGAGGCTTG